ATTTTTTATAACATATATCGAGGCTGGTGATGGCACAGAGGGACCGCGTAGGCGGAGGAAATTATTTGCTATGCCACCAGGCGTACGCACAAAGCGAGGTGCTGCAGCACCAACGGCAAGAGCGATGGGTCTCATAAACTCGATGATAGCTCAGCACCCAGAATTAGATGTGTTCCAGGATAAGTCGTGTGTCATACGGAAATTAATGTATAAGTTTTTAAATTTAAATTTCAATAATATAGGAATAGGAACTATCTAAGTGATTAATATTGTAATAGGTTTAAGTTTATTTTTGTATCCTAGAATGTAAGTATTTGGCTCTTGCTGTAAACTTTCATTTTAATGTAAATAAATAAATAAATGTTACATTAAATAACATCAACGTTTCTGGTTCAACTTTGAAGTTTAGTTAAACTTTACGTTGATATTTCGTACCGAAAATTTGTTCATGCAAAAGTAGTCTCTAAACATCGGAAATAAGATCTATTATGGAGTTAGTCGAGAGTGGTCATCGGTGACCGCCTGGGGATTTAAGCACTTAAGCACTTAAATAAGCAAGCACGTTTTTTGTGGAGCACTTATTTAATTGATCCCTTTACCCTCTTATGGACGGTATACATTTCCAGAATATGTGTTATTACTTAGACTTTCAAATGACTTTCAAATGGTACACCTAAATCATACTTTGTACCACCTTGGGTACTCACCAAGAAAGCATAACATAACATCACGCCTTTTATCCCCGAAGAGGTATGCAGAGGTACATTATGCCACTGTGCAATGTAACACCCACTTTTCACTATTTATGTTATGAGTCCCATGTAATAGGGGGTGAGCCTATTGCCATATACCGGGCACAATTCCAGGCTCCGTGCTACTTCTGACAATTTACAAAATACACAATAATACTTTGCCCGACCCGGGAATCGAACCCGAGACTCGTTGACTACGAAAGCACAAAAACACGATTTGAAAAATTGCGAATTATCGTCGCCTGCCTTATCTACGTTAGCAATTCTGTGTTAGTTGTTTTTATATGAATACTGTAAAAGGCGTACGTATTATATATTTGTACCGCATACCGCACTTTACTATTTAAAAAAAATGTTATGGAAGCAATACTATTATTACCAATTTACTATAACATTAAGAAGAAAGCATTATTTTTTTATTTTATTTACCAACATTTTTTTGGATTTTAGACTATAAATATATTGCGTAAAATATGTTTTTGTAAAAAATCCCGTTCCAGAATCATGATTCTAGATTATAGATTGATTAATATTCATCAAAAACTAGTTCTTTCTTTTGCGTCTTATGAAATTTATGACATTAGCTTAGTTCAAGAAACTTTCGTGGATTCTAGAAAAGCCACAGTACCTAAAGCTGACTAGACGAGCGTTCGTTGCTAAGCTCTAAAATAAAATTACTTTCTTATGTTAATCTGTATATATGAACATGAATCGCTATATCTGTTGCTAATCACGATTTTATAATACTCGGGAACAACTATTCTAACTCATCGATATCATTTTTTTATTTTGATTATTTTATAAAATACGATGAAGTATATATAAGGAAAAACTAAAATCGAAAATTGCAGGGAAAATAGTAATAAATAAAAAGATAATTTTTGAACTCTCAGTACAGTAAATGCAATTGATTACCTTTTTATTTTCTCAAAAACTTAGTTAGATATACCCGCATTATACAAATTTCCTGATGACTAAGTTGCCCTAATGAAGTAAGTGATTTTTATATTACTAAATGAATTTTGATTTTCCTAATCATAAAAATGAATTAACAATGTTTATTCGACTACTGACGTCATTCGCGCAGTATAAATATAAATTATGACTTCCGAAATAATTCAGACTATTTTAATACAACCTGCTGTGAGTTTATGTTCTAAACTAATTTTAAATTATATTTTACGAACATAGAAAAAGCTCCTGTCTGCAACTTGACTTGCAACGGATTTTATTAAATTTTTTTATGGGATAAGCCGGTAAACGACCAGATCGATCACCTGATGGTAAGCAATCGTCGTCGCTCATGGACACCTGGAACACTAGAGGCGTTAGAAGTGCGTTAACGGCCTTCTGGATTAGGAATTTGAGGATTGTTGGGGATTCAGGGATTGGGGAAAGGGGGGGAGGGGAATTGGGCCTCCGGTAACCTCACTTACACGATGAAACGCAACATAACGTTGTTTCACGTCGGTATTCTGTGAGGCCGTGGTATCACTCCGGTCGAGCCGGCCCATTCACGTCGATGCATGGCTCTCCCGCACTTAAAAACTTGATGTTGAACTAGATATTAATAAAATAATTATAAGTAGAAGTTAATAGCAGGTACATATTCGTGATCCATAAATTGTCATCTCTAGTCTATATCCGTTCACTGCTGGGGCCTGAATCTGCTGTAATATTGATCGACCAATGTTCGAACATTACAAATGTAGTTACGAGATCGTGTTCAAATACTAGGGCTTATACAGAGCCCCTGAACACACGCCTCTATTATAGCACGACACTAATGCAAAATTTCTCTCACTTAAGTTTGCTCATCCTGTAGTCTAAGTACCGTAAGAACTAAGCCAAGGAAGTAAACGCCTGTTATACATAATAGCACAACATAACGTAACGTAACTATAGGGTTGCCCTTCCTCATTATCGTTGGTTGAGAGCTTCGATTATACTTAGCAGAAAATTTCGATTTTAAGTAATAATGAGATTATTTTCTTCACGTTTTTCTACAGCATAAACGGTTACCTAACGATAGCTCCAAATAAACTTAAAGGATCACGGTAACTTACAATTTGGTCATTTGTTTTAGTAATGGTAAGAGCGTAAAAGTCCTATCAGTGGATACAAAGTTTCTATATTCAGAAACTTCCTAAGATAGTCTCTTGAATCTTTAGACTACAATAGGTAAAATACATGCATTATCACTACTAGTATAAGTAATGCAGTTTGATATAGATACTCAAAAATAAGCATTTTAAAATGAGAATTTCATAGGAGATTCGAATAGATTATAAATACCAATAAGGTGAATGAACTGTTTAATTAAGGAAATAATTAGCATAATTACAACAATGACGTATTTTTTTTTCTTCGAATAAAATCAAAATTCTCATTGTTTCCTTTTTTGTGACATCATGCAGTCGTTATGGTACGTTCTAAAAACTCAACCAAATAGAGTTACTTAGAATTTGATTGGCTCTAACTTTTAGTACTAGTCTTAATAATATCTAGAGAATATTGGAAATTAATATATATCTGACAATTAAATTTACATTTAGTGTATTTTTATTACTTGACTGAAAGAAGGGTTTTGTGTTTCACACGTATCTTGCGTGTATGTATGTAATATTCTTAATTACCTCGTTTCTTCTAAACCACTGAACCAATTTAAAGAAATGATATATCATAAGATACATTTTAATAACCCCTGTATTCTTAGACATGTGACAAACACAGTGACTGTCATACGGTCCACAACAGTGTTTTTTTAAGGGGGGAAAATCATCGAATGGTTTCTCATACGAAATGGTATATCATGTCTAGAATTAAAAAAAAAGAACGAAAGAACTTTTATTATATTAATATTCAAAGATATAAAATATAAAGTAAGGCAATAGCCTTACATTGTTTGCAAAGATTGATACACTTTGAAGTGCATAAATACAAAATTATCAAGTAAGATTTATAAGATTATAAAGTAAGATTATTTGTAACAAATACGCAGAGGTGCACTTAATGCTACTGTCCAATGTAACACCTACAACTATTATTAGTATTGATAATTTACCAACCTACTGAAACGTTAGAATTCGGTGCCATTAGTTCTATAGAAAATTATTTATTAAAACCTTAATAGATACCTAATTTACAATTTTGTGACCATTAAGTTACATCATTATGATATGAGCTTATGGCACCGACTTCTAACCTATCAGTTGGGTGGGTAATCTATCAATACTAATAATAGCTACTTTTTGATTTTTAGTTTTTACTTTTTGTTTGTATCAGTTTTTGGTTTCTAAAGTCGGTTTTTTAAACACAGTTTTTATTTTTTTATTTTAACATTTTTAGTGTAAAGCCACGTAGATCCGTTTTGTCACTCATAATCAGTACAAAATTATACAAGCCCAAACACAAGGTAGTTACTATATACCCTAAAGGAGATCCCTTAACAATTACACTTCTTCATCGTCAGACCCTTAATGACAGTCCCACTCCATTTGGGTGTAAAGTTCTCATAAATACAAATTAATCAAGCCCAAACACAAGGTAGTTACTATAGACTGTTGAGGAGTTCAGTTAAGTTTCGAAAGTTCCCATCGGTTTCCCTAGGATTCCATCATCAGATCCTGACTTCATGAAAATGGAACCATCTCGCGAGTATACAAGAATAAAAAAAAGACAATCAGCGGAACATAGTAAGTATCTGTTCTTATCAGAAATAAATTCTTTAAACCCACCTCCGCCTTTTTTGAAGTCGGTAAAGAGCTTTTAAATTTTTTGTTGACGTTTAAAAGTGCCTTTCTGGTCTAATTGAAATAGATAATTTTGACTTTTTTCTCCTAGCTTTTCTACTCCTGGTTTCTTGTGGTCGCGCTGAATTTAAAGAAGAGTTTTGCTCAATGTCAGTATTTTACGTGTAGCGACTAGTCTCTTCTAGGAATGAAGCTCACAACCTCTTATCCTAGTACCAATGTCTAAGCCTTTCATTCCCTGTCTACAACGAAGGTAATAGGATGATAATGACAAAATAAGAAAAATTCTTATCCTTTGAGGACAAAATAAGAAAAGCCTAAATTAGTAAAAGCTGAATCATTTCGTTCGGTATAGGTATAGAGTGTGTGTAGTTAAAGCTTAGAACTCAGCTAGAGTTTAATTCTAAAGTGATGTGATACTGGCTAAAAATAGCAAACGACTTAATAACAATCTAAAAGTAATGGATTGGTTGAAGGGATTAAAAAATACAAAATGTAAAATGATGGCACAGTTCCTTTATTTACGCAGAAATCGTCTGCAATTCAACATCAACATTCCCATAATCATGACTTGTTGTGTATTATGAATCGCTGCTGTCTTCAGATGGTCCTGGTCGGGTCAGGTCAGACTTAGTATTTCTTCTCAACCGGGGCGGGGTGAGCGGCGATGTAAGCGAGAGCGCGGGCGATCTGGGGAGGGATCTCAGGGGCGACGGGGAGGAGGTCGCTCTGAAAATAAACACACAAATATATCAGTCAGGAGAAATTTGTTGCTGAAGAAGGGCTTCTTGAACCTAACTTAAAAATGTCTTTTTACACGACAAAATACATTTAGTTTCAAAACCATCATTTATATCATGTAAACTGTCAGGAGGGCCTGTCCTCAACGGGTCGCCTCTCGATGTTGTTCAGGAATACATCTACCTGGGACAAACCCTGGGCTTTTACTACTATCTAATGACTAGTTCTTAACATTAATCCTCACAATTGTAACAAATATTAATGGAACTCGTTTCTGTAGATGACAATTTTAACCAACCCTGTTTTAATTAATTCTCTTTGATGATTAAAAGGCAAAGTGTATGTTTGTGGTTATTTACCTGGGGCTGGTAGCCGTTCTCGTCAGCGGTGTAAGTCACGAACACGGGGGTACCATCGGGGGCGGTGTACCTGTAGGCGCCCTGGGCCACCTGTAACATATAACATTATGTTATAAAATATATTCTAAAATGAATACCTATAGAATTTATGGATATCATAAATAAATTAAATGTACTTACCACACTACCGGCTTCGCCAACCTGCTTGTAGGTACCGACGGATTCAGCGCTGATACCGTTGGCGGTCTCGTAGCTGAAAGTTTAAGTTTGATCATGACAAATCTGGTGCAAGTAATTTGACACTTAATTAACTACTGAAAAATAATACGTAAATATTTGCTGCGAAATAATTTGAAGTTTCATTGTTTACCAATCAGCTTTTTACAACTTTTAGATTTTTAGATCTCGTAATAACTCAAAAGAATTAATTAATATTTATCGAACTTCACTTATTTCAACAAATTTAATATTTTTTACAGTTGAAATGGTAACTTACGTGTATTTGAAGCCGTCGGGGGCGACTTCGTTTTCGGAGCGGAGGATGGCAGCTTCAGCTTCGTTGTTGTAGGCCTTGTTGACGACCTGTTTGGCAGCACCGTAGGTGGCAGCAGCGGCCTGGGCGACGGGGGCAGCTACGGGGGTGAACACTGGGGCGGCAGCTTCGGCTACAACCTTGGCGGCGGTGACCGGGGCGTAGGCTACAGCCTTAGCGGCGGTGACCGCTGGGGCGTAAGCTGGGTTGCGGAAACCACCGAAACCGGGGTAGCTTTGAGCAGCCGCGGCGCACACGCACAGAGCAAGTACCTGCAGAATTAATAATAATAATAATCACTTATACATTTATCATTGATCACATGTTTTATGTTCACTAGTATTGTTTTAAAGCATTGAAGTTATTCGTAAGCATTCGTAATATCTCACCAAGAATTTCATTTTTGCTGAGATCTGTACGACTGGCAGAAGCAAACAGGTGCCATCCCATAGAATTTTAATCCTTTTATATTAAAATACAAGTCAACAAAAAACACCGCCCAATTCTAAGGGTATTGACTCGCGAGAGTGACCTTGACTCTAACATTAATTTCTCGTTGACAAGTAGAATATCATTAAGACTGGAGCTATTATCAATTCGTTAAAATCTATGAGACCATTATTTAACAACCAAATATTCCTATGTATAATGTATTATTGTCTGCTATGGAATATTAAATGGTTCCGTCTAAAACGTTTAATAAAAATGTTCTGAGAATCTCTAGAATACTTACTTGAAGATAAATAAATAAATAAATAAGATGCATTTACTGAAATTTAAATATTCTCAATTTGTCGGTGACACACCTATTTTTGTCGCAAATAATGCATATCAAGTATCTAGCTCAAAATTTTACGACTTTATTGGTTCGGACTTTATTATTACCTAAAAATAATTATGATCACTGACTCGTGCCACATATTACGCTGCACTATTTTAATGAAAGAAGTAATACGTATATTATTTTCAAATTGGTTTAAATTTGGGTATTTATATATTAGTAAAGGTGGACTGTTAAACCTCCGAACCAATTTTATTGTTTTGTGTAATGCTTATCTACATATAATTCTATATTTGATAATGTAATATATATTTCCCAAATAAGGACTATCAAAAAAGGCCAATATTACTCTTTTATTTAACATTATTCACATTAATGCCATCACTTTCTTTTAATGATATGCATGTGTTCGTCAAATGTTGAATTTTTGAAAGACGATCCAAGTATCGTGTCAATTTTCAACAACATTTTCATTAGATATTATATTATTGAAAATTAAAAAAGCGTTCCTTTTTTTCTACGAATAACATCGATCGAGTGAAAAAGTAAGTCTCATCAAGGTACTAGATTTGTCGCATTAACTTTATGCTATGTGACATGTGCTATGATACACCAGGTCAATTGAGGCTTAAGTACTAAAACTTTATTAATTATATAGGTAAATTAAACTTATAGAAGTTTCATGCATGAGATCCACTGATCCCCATTAGATTTTTTATGGTGAAACACACCTCCTATTTAAGCCATGCCTCATGGCGGTAACATTAAACGAAACATGCATGATGTCATAAGTGCATCGAGTATCTATCTCTATTAAAACTCAAAATTAAACATGTGTGTTCTATTTGAAAAATATGTAAATTTTTTGAAAAGATCTCAAAAACCTAGTTTTGATAGATTTATTTTTGTAACATTCTTTGTAGTACCTAAAGAAAAGGAGTAATCCTCACTTTTACGCACACAGGATACAAATGCAATTACAATGCCGCCGAAGGCCTAATGGGATACCGGGGCTCCGCTCCGGCTCGAGGAGCAGGAGTAGGAACGGGGTGGTTTTTAGTCAGTAAGAGTCTGACACTCCCTATCGCCAACCCAAGGCAAGAGAAGCCACTGGATGATTTTCCCCCCTCAAAAAAAGGGCAGTTTGTAGTTGAACTGTCTGCCATTGTAATATGAAATTAAGAATAAGGTTTCAATAATTATACTGGATTTAATCAATTTAAATGAAAACATCTAAAATATAAAAATAACATCATATATTTTATTGTTTTTAGATATACCTAATATCAAATGGAACCCGCACATTATTTTTGTCTCACATCGATCTCAATATTTAATTTAAAGTATAAAATAAATCTAAATATCAATGTGATGATTTAAATTCAGATATAGACACTAAAAACTACGGAAAAAGAAAAAAAAGGTTGATTTATGTGAGTAGGTAATTACTCTATAAGCTCATCTGTATTCCCTAGTTATTATCCTTACATTTCCAATGTCAAATAGGCAAACTTTATTCATGTCAATTGTACTTAAAGACGGTTTAAAAATTTATTACGTACAAAGATCTGCAATTTCGACAAACATTATAAAAAATAACACATTTTTTTTCCTTTTATCGAAATGCCATTAAGCCGTGGGATACAACGCCCACGTAGAGATGTGAGATAAACTATGGATAAAATACACCCCAGTTAACCTTGGTGATAGCAGACCACACTCTGGAAACGTGACATCTGCCGAACGGACAAACGTTCGAGGGCCTCTAGAGAACTAGTTTCGATTTTCAAATGTCAACGACTATTATTAGCACCTCTACAGGTCATCAGGGTGTGACCCATAGATCTACAGATCACAAATCACGCCATACTTTTATGACAGATATTATAAATTACTATAAAATTCTTATAGAATTTATATTAATTATCACCTTTGTAATTCGGATGTTTTGTGGTAATTTATATTGTTTCTGCGCCTACAAGGTGATGTTAGTCGAGTACAATAACGTTTATATTCGATGAAATAAAAATGTGTTTAATATTAATCAGTTTCTAAAAATATTTCGTATTGGTATATAACGTGTAACATTATATTTTTGGGAGATAGGTTTGGTTTTGAGTAGATATTTTTAAAATATTTTACATGAACTTTATAATATCTAGTATTATTCCCACGGCAATTTTTTTCCAGAATAGGTAAGTTATACTACTTAAAATATGTTTAAAAGATATTTAATATGCTAAAACATGAAAAGACCGATGACTGTTGATGAAACTAAAGAGGTATGTAAGAATCGTAACAATTGACGTAGGTACTAGGGAATGCTATTATCTGGTTACCCCCATGGGAGACAGGCGGCAGGTTATGCATGTATTTAAAACTATTTTGAGTGAAATACATGTTTATTCAGTCATATACCTACTTTAACCATGATTAAAGCGCTGCGTGTTTTACAGAAGCTAGATTTAAAACATACCTAATTGCAATAAAAAAAAATCAAAAAAATACGAGGGTGAATACACTCATTAGCAGGCCACGTGTATACAAAAGTCCAATTATATATTTAAACAGATTAACTCCTCCAGAATAGCATTTTACTTGAATATATTAAACCAGTTTACTTAAAAATAATGTTTTATACCTAACAAAAAAACTTGATCGAACCATATTAAAAAAAAACAACAGTCTAATATAAATATTATGTCATAGGTGACAAACATATTTATATCGACTTAATTTAGCACCTGCAAGAATTATTATTAAGACGCTTGTCTTATAATTTCGATCATTTAATATTGACACAAATCTTCTGGAACTTTCTTATATCATATTCCCAATCTGTACATTCATACAATGCAGTAAAATCGTCCGTAGGTACTTTCTCTTCGTAAAGTCTCAAAAACTGTCACATAAAAAACTCCCGAAGCTACGCCTTAGTAAGTCACCGTCAAGCAAGTTCAAGAAAGTTCCAGGAATCACGACGGAAATTCAAGAATGCAGTACATAAGCGACACCTTGACCTGGAAGATGGCTGACGTAGTCACATCCCCCCTCCCTCCCAGTTATAAATAGCCGCTTGCAAAGTCACCTCACCTTTCACCTTTCTATGAACTTTGAACGTATCGCAATAATGGTTCAAGCACGAGACTATGATAGGTTAATAGTACACTATGCATTGACACTAAGCAGACACCACTGCCAATTATTGCTAAGCTAAAAGAAACATTATATTGGTAATAAGATTTGTAGTTGTAGTTACGTAAATGGTAGATTGTGCTGCAATTCTTTAAGAAATACATGAATGCCATAGATGTCATCGTGCACTGATTAAATTACTATGATAATAGTGAATAGTACCTAATTGGCAAATAGATTTGGATTAAAGCTTCAAAATTACCTAGGTTATGCAACTCGTTCAAAGTTATCTGGGCGTGGAGTATTTCAATCCTGAACTAGATAAAATAAATACAAATAAAAATCTTTTATTTTCAGGCGTCGACGGCCCATAGAGTGTTAATAAACAGTACAAACTTAAAAAACTTTGTTAGTAGTAGTAACACACGAGTACAAAAAATAAAATAAAATAAAACAAAATAATACATACACAAATACAAATACAGAACAGATTATTATTAGAAGCTTTATCAAGCTCCACATCTGACATACAGCTTGATAAATCTATCTATTGTAGGCCCTTCTAGCCTTTTTGCAAACACCTTTAGAACGCTGTTGCTGCTTTCCCTCAGTCTGCTTTATATTTTTTATAGATAGGTGAGTAAACCAAAAGGTGTAATTGACATTTTATAAAAACTAAAAAAAATCTGATGGTATGTTTGAGTTCATTTTTGGGGACTTTGGACTGAAGATTACTACTTTACACAATAAATATACATAGGTATAGATATCATGTACAAAGAATGCATGACATAACGATGATAGTAAAAGACCACGTCTAGCAGAAGATGTGTTACAAAACAATGTCACAATGTTCGCTAAAAATGTTGATTGTCACTTGTCCATCAATTTACAAAAATGATTGATGGCTCTGAAAATGGTAGTAGCAAGAATTCTATCGCTATGCAAAATCAGTCGGATTGCCACATAGCATCACGACTGATATTTAGCAGATGGGTTTGCCAGTGTCAATGATTTCACTGAGAATCTAGTGGCTAAAGATCCGCACAAATTCAGACCTTGACTATTGCTGACAATAGTCCAAATTTATAAAATGCTCTTTATAATTACAAATAATTATGTGAGCGTTAATTTCAAGTGATTTATGAGTTCTCTATTTTTAAGTATGAACATAATTTTAAACTACCTACATTTCCCAAAATCAGCATGACTACGCTTTTTGATAACAAAATCATCTCAGTCAAATATAAATATAAAATGGATTTTGTACAGCTACGTATACCAGCTTTATGATTGGTTGTTCTTAGCATAGGTTCAATGAAAACATTATCTTAAAAACAACGCCATCTTCCTACTGACCTATGAAATTGTAAAATAGAATCTCTACTTTACATTTTAAATAACAAAGTTGGTATTAATAAGATATTCGATATTCAAATGAATTCAAATACTTACGTGTTCACTCATGCGTCGCTAGATGGAGCCTTATAAAATCATTAAGCGGTCAAGAGATTATCTTAATATAATCATTTACCATTTCAATTTGTTGTAGGTGCGTTCCTAATAAGAAAGATAGTGGTCGGGATAAGGTTGTTCTAAGTTACCCCGAGGATTCGAGTTAGTCTATATTTATGTGATTGACACACAGATATTTTGAACATGCACATATTATTGCGGCGTGTGCTCTACTGACGCATGTCATCTGCAGAAAATAAAGGAAATAATCTTTATCCCTAGAGAAAGAGCGTGTTGAATAAAAAAACTTTTACAATATTAGTATTACGAACGGTAATAGAAATCATATTTTAAAAGATTGTATTTTTGTGATTTTGACCATTACTATGTAAAATTGGATTTTCTTTTTCTGAGCGATTTAAGTTGTCAACGATGAAAAAACAATTAACTAATCAAACATCTCAACCATTCACTTAAGGTCATAACTTTCTATAATAACCAAAATTATAAAAGCCATGAACGAACAAAGGCCGCATCCTTGAATATTTCTCCACGCATATGTTATCAAGTAATTTCCGATTAAGAAGGCTTTGCATACATCAAAAATTTCGACATCATGTAAAAAGTAATTCTACTAAAGAAGCAATATGCTCTTACGTCGTTTCAATGATTTTCGCATAATGAAGCATGAACAACTAAATTACTATACTAATATTTTAGTTGCATATACTTTATGAAGTAAAGTCAGTGCATCTGGTGTACTATTTAACTGATTTCGTAAATGTAAGTGAAGTACACATAACAAAACTCTTGTTTATTATTGTAATTAGTATATGTTATCGGCTTTGTATTGCCTAATCACGTTTCAACCCGCCTCACCTGTTTTTAAAACTTAATTATAGGTTTATTGATACAACAACGCGATGTCAAAACTCTCAGGGTTACCCACGCATGGCAGTTAGGGCGCTTGGTAACGTGTTAACAAACATAATACTCGTTTGATCTCTATCTACTTCATCTTACCATTCCAGATTACGACATTTACTTGTTCGATATTTCTTTAACAAGTTATAGATATTACTAGTTGACTTATTACTAATAACATCAATTTCATTAAAAGGGTGACATTTTTGGGTCTACGAAAATTTTCCATCTGCAGTTACTCGTATTTGTAACATGCATACATACATACATAACGTAACAAAACGCCTCGCCCAAATATTTTCCAAAGAACCGTCAATGTTAACGAACTTTTGTACATAAATTATTTTTAACATAACATAATATCACGCCTTTTATCCCCGAAGGGGTAGGCAGAGGTGCACATTATGCCACTGTACAATGTAACACCCACTTTTCACTATGTATGTTGTAAGTCCCATGTAATAGGGTGTGAGTCTATTGTCATATATCGGGCACAATTCCATACTCCGTGTTACTACTAAGACTTTATGAAAACCCAGTAATACTTTGCCTGACCCGGGAATCGAACCCTAGACCCCTTGCCCAGCAGTCGCACTTGGCAACGCCCACGAAGCAGTCTTTGATTAATTTTTGTACATATATTTTTCATTCATATCTGTAATTGTTATCATCACTCTATAACTAGCCTACCGGGGGATAAAAGTCTTTTCTCACATTAAGAAGAAATTTTAATAACATGCCATCGATTCTTTTTATTAGTATGTAACTACGTGTGAACGTGAAGGAAGCCAGTTGATTATCAAAGCATTTTCCCATCAGCCGGACCAGAAAACTGCTAAGCAAAGTTTTCCCTATTACGAGGATGTTATCCATAATCCCTAAACTTCGCAAACGGTTTGGAGATTACTGTTAGGTCACTGACAAGAGGGCTGCCTACTTACTAAGGAGTTTCTGCCTACAAATGTATTTCATGAATTAATTCATATATAAATAATATAATATGTACTTATATGCATAATTTTTGCATTTTTAGTAATTAAGGAGTATCATTAGAATTATTTATTAGACATGAGACTACGTCAAACGAATGTAAAGGAGCCTTGACCTACATGGGTATGACAATAAATTCATAATATTTAATAGTTTTGAGAAGCCTATTGCACTTGGGTTTCTAATTTTCCATTCTTTTTTTACAATTAATAAAATATTCAACAATAGGTTGTTGTTAAAAAGTTCACGTTAAAAAGAAGCTTTTATTTCTGTGATAATTACTTTCAGTTGGCTTCAAATAGAGGAAGAGGTGTTTATATCGACTGATATATTTTGTTTGTGATTATTTTTGTGCTTATTATCTTTAGAATTTTTAGTTTGTAAGGAAAAATAGTTGTGCATCTGTGTATGAAATGTATATGGTGTAAAAGTAAGGTTTGCTAAGGGTTTAGAGAAAATGCAATAAGTTTTTCTTAATTTTTTATATTTACATCATACAAAACAGTTTTATGTACAAAATAAAAAGGTATAAAATAGGAAGTTTCTAGTAGGCTCAAAATATTTCATAATATTTACATTAGACCTTGTCTAGTTAAATATTAAGAAATACTTTATAAGTTAAATTACATTGAATAGTGCTTAACCTAATGTTCAAACATGAAATTAGTTTTCAGGTTGGGGAGAGGCGGTGGCGAGGTAAGCCAGAGCGCGCTGGATCGCCTCAGGGATAGGGTGGGGAGTGGGGAGGTGGGCGCCCTGGGGCTGGAATCCATTCTCGTTGGCAACGTATGTGAGCTGGATGTTGCCACCGTCTTCGCTGGGGTAGGAGAACTGGCCCTCGACCTGCAGGGCAGGTTCTTCAGCACCGATGTTCTTCAGGGCTCCTTTCTCGTCAGCAGCAATACCGTTGCCGGTTTCGTACGACCATTGGTAAGAGCCATCAGGGTTGATCTCGCTCTCTTGCTTCAGAATGGGGATGGGTTCAGTGGGAGCTTGGGGAGCGGCAAGGGCAACCGCCAAGAAACCGAGGAAGACCTGTAACAAGCGAATTACTGTAAATATTTTGAACACCACTGAATATTTAGGTACAATTAAGGGTGGGTGGAACGTTCGATTTTGATCTTTTGGTTTGAAAATCTCAGTTTTTGTGGTCACAACACTTTGATCACGAGGCACTTTCGTAAGGGTATCCAATAGTTGAAGGTATGCACTATCACAACACTTACAATGGTTTTCATGTTTGTTTGTTGGTGTTTGTTTGTCGGTGAAGGCACTAGACAATGTTGATCTAACACTGTTATCGGTATATATACGGACGGGTCACTACACCGCCTACCACCTCTGGATGCTATTGCACCATTTGGCACGTCATAATAAATTCGACAAAATATGTGCGTGCCTACTGTAGTCAATGCGCTTGCGTGATATTTTCTGCATCACCGTTTAATCGGCCCTCAGTTAGTTCTTCGCCTCTGGGTGCGATGGGGCTGTCAGCAGCGAATTCATTATAAACTTTTAAGCCGGCTTTTTAGAATATCGACCAAAAGCCTTTGTAAAGTGCTAATAAATTCTATATCTTATATTTTTGCGCATGTATCTGTTTAGAACAATTTGCACACTCTGTATTTACATGTATGTATATTATGGATACTTTCTAACAGGATATAGAGTATCACCACAATATGCAGCCTGAACGCATAAGTTAATAATATCTTTCTAATAACACCCAACATTATTTCCCTTGAAAATACTAAATAGGGCCATCATTGTATATTTTTAAATAAATATATTTAAATTATCAATAAGCCCACTCGGCGGTGTCGTATATTGGATTTCTACGTGGGTCTGGGTGTAATCTTTGGGTTCAGCAAATCATTATGCGGTAATTCGGTTCAAACATTTCAATTGTGTCTAGCTTCACCTGGATTATAATGGAACGAAAGGTCGGTATATTAAAGATACATTAAATCATGCACCAAGTTTCCATTTCAATAAAAGTACTACAACAGGTTCATTTACTATCAGTTTCTTAGCTATCCTAATAACCGACTGGCACATTAATATATTATAAATCTAAATAACTTTCGTTATCTTCACTTTCTTGTAACGATAAAAACATACCTGTCTTGAATCTCGTTTATCTATTTCTATTAACACAACTCCATAACATGTTTGTATAACGATAATTTTATGCAATAATTCCAATAAAAAGATGTCTCGAAAACATTAAAAATACAATAGTTTTGCTGGTTTTGTGAAACCGGTAATACAAGGTCGTCTCATTATAAGACAGTAGGTACACAAGTATAAATATCTAATCAAGAATGTTTTTACAATTTATTGCGAAGATTTTTCGAGATAACCAAATAGTTTTAAAGGCAAAAAATTATCAATGCTCCAAGCATGCTAAAAGCTTATGAGTGATAAATTTAATATATGTCCCACAAACTTCATTAAATCTGTATTTAATGAAGTTTGAATACGAATTGTAGTATCAGTATAGGACAAAATAATTCCAGTACTCCAACTAGTTATACTGTTATAGGATAAAATAATTCCAGTAGGTACTCCAGCTAGTATTCACCTCAAAGCAATTTTAAGTAACAACTTTAAAAATTGTATATTACACAATATTATTTATCAACACGTTCTTTCATCTTTGTGTTCGAAAAGACTATTTCAAAATTAGTGTCTATAAATCGAATTACTACATTTGACAAGAAACTTTTATGCTAGGTTTCATTATAGGTTACCTATTAGCAAGTCTCACGTGTGAAGGTTGCGTAGGAGTGACGGTCATGTTAACAATCATTGAAAAAAAAAAGTTTAGTTAGTTTTTATTTAGTAAGTATATCAACGTTGTATGTTTGTGGTAACAACATTTTCTTTTAAAACTATCCGTTGATAGTTTGATGGACGAAAGGATATTCTATAATGACTGCTTAGTTGGCCGAGTGGTCGCAAGTGCGACTGCCGCTGCAAGGGGACTCGGGTTCGATTCCCGGGTCAGGCAAAGTACTACTGGGTTTTTAAATAATATGTTATATCAGATAGATACGGCATAGATATGATAGATATATCGTTACAATGAAGTACGTAAGAAATATATTATATAGGTTTTTTTTATCTAAAAACAGTTATTCTAAATCTATACTAGGTTCTACTTTTCACACTTATTATCGACATACTTTTAAGACACGTCAAGTCAAACACAATGATTTGAATATAATCATGTTTCACATATTTTAATTATTAAATAGGTAGTAAAGATCTCATAAAACATTTGCTTTGCATCAATTTAAAATTATAACTACAAATGGTTTCCGTTTCGCATTTAAATAAACTTAGACTTATTTTGTAGTCGTTATATTTTATGGGACATTTAAAACAGTTTTTTTATGTAACACGATTTCCTTTGTTATTTGACTTAATACAGCATTTAGTATACCTACCTACCTACAAAAAAATTATAATTAAAGAAAACCTGTTAACAATCGTTGCTGGGTCATGATCACTAAGTAAATATTGCCCTACTTCAAGACAAGCACCCACGTTAATTAACTGGACAAAAGTCAAGCATGCGACAACTATTTTCAAATAAATTTCAACAGATACGTTACTACATTTGTAACAGTCAAGTATTACGAAAGTTGAAAACTTCAATAATAATTAATTAGGTCTACATTACCTTATTGAAGTCAGGAAATGACAACAAAAATAACACAACTCTCCTTCAAACATTGTAAGAAAGGATAAAATTAGACATTACTTGAACTTAAACATTAGGTATGCTAATTCATATTTATTCTACAACTATTGAAGTTTACTAACCGCAATGGTTAGGCTAATATTTATCATACTTATTATATAATCTATATCAGCACAACAGATTTAAAGAGATAGCATAACTGAATGATGACCACAAACCACATTGTTCTGGTTTCTTGCAATTCATACAAAGTACCATTATTGATTGTGGTTACAACTACTATCAGGTGTCTTAAATTCGATTCAATGAAATGATGGTGTTTGAATTCTTCATAAGTTTAAACTTAAATGAATTAAGTCCTAAGGTCCACATTGCGTCATTTAACAAAAAAAACGATAGGCGGATTTTACGTCGCTACGTAGTTTCTAAGCAAGATAAAAGCATTTGTCGTTTGTATGCCGCCTACTGATTGTGAAGGATGCATTCTTCTAATGACGCAACGTGGACAGTTACCTTAACTGGGAACATTGCTCTATTATCAGGCCTGTGACCAGTAGTGGAAATCTTGTGGTGGATACGAAAATGAAGATGTTAATTACCCATTTCTTCGTACGAAGGCAACATAAAATATTTTGTATTCAAAACAACTATAGTTATTTTTGAGCAATATACTCAAATTCAATAGTATTCAGACCTTGCACGGTTTTGAACCGTTAAATTCAAATCACTGAAATCACTCGAAAAGGTCAATTCGATTAATCTCACGTTGTAAGTGTAATTGTAAAAAGTCCATTTATTTTGTTATTGGTGATGTATGTAAGCGCTTATACAGTAATAATAACTATATTTTCAATAATACTATTCAACTTAAGTTCAGCTTTTTCATATTTTTTTATTAGTGGTTTTATATTTTATTTCACCACGTGTTTACGTAATTTATTATATGGTTAATATAAATAAATATTACGGCCTACATAATGTACAATACTTACTAAGTACTACTAATATAGTATAGTAATAATAAATATTATTATTCAACTTTTTACATACTAGCAGTAACTAGCTCGTCAAAAAAACATGCAGCGTTTTTTATTTTTAAAAAGAAACGAGACACATGTCTGTCACGTGATTTTTAAAAGATTTAGCATTAAAATTTTAATAACAATTATTTAAAAAGTTCTCCAAATTGAAAAATAATTTAATTTATATTAATTTATTTATTATTCTAGTAATGTTCGGTAGTTTTTTTTGTAAATCAATGTAACCTCTAAGTATTTTGAAAGTCAAATCAACACTCGTTCTTAACGATCATTCATTTGTTTCACTAAACCGTGTCTAACTGAATTACTTTGTGGTTTTATGTCTCGTTTTGATTATTAAAATTCCACTTAAAAGGTATAAAAGCTAGCTTCTTCAATATAGGTACCTAGAATCAACGTTCATTATAATGCAGATCATAAAATAGTATACGTTACTAGCGGACATGACAGACGTTTTGCCAAGACCCGAATTCAATGACATCGCTCTGTCGGTTCTAATGGCATACCTACCAAAATTAGCTAAAGATTTACTTAAAAACTAACAAGCGAATATCGAAACTGATACAGCCGTTTTAAAGATTTTTGGTGAAAGTTGAAAAGAGACTTATAATCTATAATTTTAAAAATGATTATGGATAATTACTTAAGAAGACAAATTCAATAAAACCACAATTGTAATGTCCTGGCTAAAATTATCCTCAATTCGACTCAAAACTTGTAAAACACACTTAGCGCCATGACCTTTTGACACTTCAAAAAGAAGTCCGCGCCGGTTCTCATTAATAAATTAATATTTAGGGATAATTATGAATAGCCTTCGGACATCGTCAATAAATAAATATAACTATTAGTTATAGAATTTCACGTTATCGTCATGTAACTCATTTTCAAGGAAATCGCAATTTTGGAAGAACTGTTACATGGTCTACATAGGTGCTACGGTGTACTTAAATCGGGTATTCAAAAGATCGTGATGAAGACTCCTAGATCGAAATATCTATGACAAAAAGCTTGAATTGGAAAAGTATAGCTCTAAACTCTACGTAAATACCTATGCCCTTTACCCATTTAACGTATAAAGTTCATGTTCATCCCCAGTTCACACAGGACTTTAAATTTATAAAAAATACATACAATATTTATCTACATAATTATTTGCACAAAATCCTAATCCATGACCCGATGCCCGTCATACGGTCACTGATACCATCTCCCGTTCATTAAGTCCTTGTTGATTGAATAAACTAAGAGATTGTTAACATAATTAACAAATATATGCAGGGTGTGCCGATACCAATTATCTGTTACAGTGATAATGTCAGAGGTAATCGATTACTAACTCTAACATGCTATTAATATTTGCAAAAACACACCGATTACGTATTACCCATTAATTTTTTTAAGCTTTTATTTTAAGTTAGTCAGTAATCGGATATTCGTGATACCTCGTAGATGAATAGGCCCGGTTTAGATTTTTGATAATCTAATAATGCGGTTGGAAGACAAAGGTATTAATTTAGTAATAGTGTAGTTTAAGATTGATGATGATCAATTTAAGAGTATTGTGTA